TATGCCACACATCATCAATTTATCCTGGTAATACGCAAAACTAGAGTGAGCAAGAAATCTGTGCAAAGTCACATATGCAGGTGCGAAACAAGCGCGGTACTGGCTCCCTGACCATCGAACTCGCTCGCATCCAGGATGGGAACCTCTAACAGATACAGTAGATCACATGACTGATCACATGCCTCCTTCCTGCAGGTACCGTTACCCCATGCTGCTTCTCGCTGTGTAGTGTGGTTGGCAAATAATCTCTTCCCTACTTTCCCCTTTTATTTCTTTTTGTTTTTTGCGCGGCCCCCAAGCGAGAAGAAGGGCGGGGGAACATAAACCACAAAAAAACAAAATGGGGCGGGGGGGCGTACTGGGGGGGGGGGAGGGCGGCCACCTAATTTTTTTTAGCGGTCATTCACGTGAGGAGGACGGGAGCATATAGTCCACCCACACCCCACATTGCCGAGGGGTGACTCTTCGGACTCTGGGGATGCGGGACCACTAGTTGGCCAAGAGGGGCAGATAACACAATGGGCAAGCGTAAACAGAGAGAGATCTGAAAAGCATCACCGGGGGGGGAGAAGAAAAACCATCCAGTCTTTGAGTAAGTATCAGCTGGTGTTCGTGCTTTTTCCAAATGTCGTGGGCTTTGGGATATAGAGGAACTGGGGATCTCACTTTGGGCTCTCTTTCTCTCTCTCTTTTCTTTCTCCAAAATACTGTGCATGTGGGTTACAAAAACACAATATGGAGGCCTAACTACACAGACATTGTTATCACATGCATAACTATTGCACGGCACAAATGAAAGTGTCTGGAGCTAGGGGCTTGATATGTAAAAAGTAGTAGTAAATGAAGTACAATTCTAATTTTTACGGTTAGTTACATTATTACGCGCTGTCCATATCCGGTGTGATTGTGAAATGGCTTCTCTACATAATGCCTTAAGTAGTTTCAGCTTCTCTCCCTTGGAGATGGAAAGATGTTCAAAAGGTGTTCGAAGCCCGTGACATTTGTAAAGCCCCATCCAGTGTGACCAAGCTGGTGGTGTAGCCATTGGCCATGCAGGTCTCCAGCAGATCTTGGTACTTGTTGGTCTTCCGCTGAGAGGCATCCACAAAGTTTGTCTCGAAGCACACTGCCAGTTCTGCAAGCACCATGACCTCCTGGGTGTCGCTCCACACCGCCAGGTCTGGGCGCAAGTCGGTTGAGGCTGCAGTTGAGGGGAAGTCGTATGTTGATTCTAGTAAGTCTGCCATGATCTGGTATTGCGGTGGGCACAGGCCGTCGACGATCACCCGAAGGACGTTGTCATGTCACTGGTTGTATCGCCGCAGCTCCAGTGCCATTTGGCAGTGGTTCAGAACATGCAGCAATTGTGCCATTGGTTACAGAGCTTGCACAGACTCGAGAGGCCTGCTTCTCTCCTCCACAGGGACAAGTTGGCATTGTGGGGGGAGAGTGTCTTGGGCCGCGTTGAGTGCAAACTTCATGCACTCGGGAGGTAGCTTCTGGACCACCTCCAACCACAGACTTGCTGCATCATCGTCAACGAGATTGTGTAGCTGGCCTTGTGTGGCCAGTGACTTAGCGTGGTCCAATCTCACCTCCCTGTCCTTTGTTGCCACCAGATTTTTGGTGCGTTTCATGATGGTGTGAGTTGGAGCATAATATTGTGGCAAATATAGGCCATGCAGGACCCTGACACCTTATCCAACATGTTTTCAACCTATTGAACCTAGTCTAATGAAAACTCCCTTTGTCTCCACAGTCTCAACTAAGAAACCAAATCTCCCCCAACTGCTTAAAATCGATTTTCCCTCAAGAGTTGGGCCAAAGATCAGTGCTTTCGGGACATTTCTCCTCCAAGACAGCCTCGGGAACAAGATGGCCAACATCAGAAAGAGGGTACGTGAAGACCCGGAGGAAATGGCAATGGAGGTTCTGAGGGAGTGGCTGGCAGGGAAGGGGGTGGAGGTGTCGTGGGAGAGCCTCATAGCAACTCTGAGGGATAGCAAACTGAAACTCATGGCCGACCAGATTCAAATTGCTCTGGCACAACTAAGATCTTGATGCATCGTGCCCCTCAATTATCGAGTTGACAATGTATTTTTTTGACATGGTAGGCTCTGGTCAGACATGAAAATCGCATTAGTGTGCTTGTACATGATTTTTGTGTATACCCATCCAAGTAAAATATTATCTGATTGTGATGCTGAGAGCTATATACAGTTCAGCTGGTGTTCATTATCTATATATATACCACACATTTAATTCGCTAGTAGAATTACGTGACCAGAATATTTCCGCATACTATTTCAGAATGACATCATCAGAAACAAAAACAAATGCAACAAAAGGTGTGTGACTTCTATGTGACTCCTGTGGAAGGGGTTGGGAAGGAGTAGGGAGAGAGACAGACTGTATATGGTGACTCTTGTGGAAGGGGTTGGGAAGGAGTAGGGAGAGAGACAGACTGTGATGGTGACTCTTGTGGAAGGGGTTGGGAAGGAGTAGGGAGAGAGACAGACTGTAATGGTGATTCCTGTGGAAGGGGTAGGGTAGGGGGTGGGAGAGTAAATTCATGAATATTTATCTCAGCACGTCCAGCGCCATATGTGTCTCCTTAAATAAACAGAAATTGATGTATAACATTAGTAGCCTAGTATTATAGCCATATATAAATTCTTATGCACTTATGGAGGCTCTGTGCATATAATATATGTAAATGGCACCCAAAGGGTTTTAAACACTCACCATTGCAATACTCAGAACTTATAGTACAAAAAAGTCATGCCACTGAGTAACAAGTCCAAGTCGAATTTATTAAGGGAATGTGGCAGTATAAAAGTAGAAATGTTACTAAAAACGACAGGGACATGGTGAAAGTATGGGGTTCGTTGGCACAGTTGTGATGCAGGGCTCAAAGGCTATGAATCATGAAATCTGAACCTTCATTAATTTTGGTGGCAGCCATTTTGCCGGCTTCTAACAATTTTTATGCACACATACATAATATTATACGACAACACAACTTCTTTAATCTAGGAGCTAAGGGTATTTTAAGTATTAAAAAACTTACTATTCGGAACTAATGGTCAGTCTGAGATAGTGGTATAGTCTCTCAGAGAATTTTACCAACCCTACATCATCATTCAGGTTGTATTTCCCTCCTCCTATTACGAATTTATTATTCTTTTGACGTTGGTGGAAGAGCAGAGAAGTCTGAAAGAAACAGAGCATAATTTGTGACCGTATACACAGAAAGAGGCATAAGTAGGCATAAATGAATTCAAAATGAACGGCAACTCAACTTCCGCAGCTGTGTCGTTTTCATAGCACCCGCTAAAAGCTGCTACATTCATAGTAAGAGTTCTGAAAGCTTTTTTGTCCATGGAAGCTGTGTGAGGTCAGTGGTGTATCGCCTGACAACATGTAAGAGTGTGTATACAGAAATTTTGCTCCACTGCCTAAGGTGTAGATTGTGCTCGGAATGATAATGCCGAAAGTAAAGATGGTGCCTAAGTGAAAGATGGCGCCAAAGTAAAGATTGTTCCCAATCACACACAACATGCATAGAAAACTCGCCATCTAATGGTTTCAGTTTGCCCCCTACAAAAACAGCTCTAAAATGCAACAGGCTATTCATACCATGTTTATGCAAAAAAAAGTACCACACATCAAACCCGGCGAATCTCGTAGTTTTGGCTGACTTGTGCCTGGTTTTCGTGTGTACGATTTTATTTATTGAATCCTGATTTTTGCAAGTTAATTTTGCGTTATGAAGTCTGTATGGAGGGCTAGTTCGCGTTATTAACCCTCGGCGCGCATGCGCAGCGAGGGTTACTGTAGTCTTTCAGTCTGTCTGTGTGTGTGTGAGTCGACGCTTATTCTGGCACTACAGGCTACGAAGCGGCCCATTAGCGATACTAACGGCTTTGGAACTACGCGAGCCTGAAGAATAAAAGGGCAATTTTCCTGAAACGACTGCGTTCGAGAGCGACAAACTGGCACCGTCGCGGACCGTGTTCCGTGGCCCAACCCATCAATAAGCAGTGCGCATGCGTATATTATTATACGCGATCAACGCGATAACCTCGACCTGATCCGCTTGCTCTGTGTACCTTGGAGGCACAAGAAACCACAGCGAAGGGCGTGTGTCGACTCCCGCATGCTATCTACTACCGTAGCTAGCCCGTGTCAGATTCTCCGCGAACTACTAGCGGGAGACTGCGGGTCCATCCATTAGCGGTACCGCGCATGGACAGTTCGCCGAGGGTTTGCACTTCAGTGCTTTTCATTGTGATATGCGTGAAGCAGAAAGACTTGGCCTACAGTCACAGTTCTCTTACCAGAGGTGCAATGTTGAGAAAAAACTCCTTGGTGTTTAATGCATTAGTTAAGCTCCAGTACACGGGGCTGGTACATATTTCAAACTTTAGCATGCATGTGTTTGAAATGTGTTTACTGCATTGTTCACTTAAAGTAATTCAGTGGCGTAAGGAGTATGGTTCGTTTTGCGCGATTGGTCGCAATTCTCAAACTTGTTTTCCACACTTGTCGTGACAAAACAGTGCGATGTGGCAAAGACTGCCAGTGCGTGCATGGCAAGAGAAGAAGGCAGGGCTTCCTGCAAAGATTCGCAGTAGGCAGCTGCCATCAATGGTCGGTCGGTCGCGGTGTCTTTCATTTGGGAAAAAGTGTCAGGCACTGACAGTGAAGTCGAAGGTGAAAATGAGTGTGCCACATTGCGTTAATGCACACCAACCAGATCAGCTAGACACTTGGTGCTTTTTCTAATTTTCTTTACTGCTAAAACCACACCAATGATGACAGCGAAAAGGTTGTTCTGTTTTGATGAACGGAATGGTTGGTCCATTCCATTTCATATATATACACAGAAACTTGATGCACACTCTACTTACTGCTCCATCTTTACACACAACTCCCACACATTTCTCTTGCGTTTCATCTTTCCACAGTCCATGCACTGCTCTATAGTTTTGTAACACACCATCTTTATCTCCTTCCTTTTTTACCTGAGAAACAAAAACAAATGCCATACAACACAAATCCTATCAACATTTACAGTCTTCCAAAATCCACTTGTTTTCCAGGATAACTGGGTTGCCAAAGAGGTGCGTGCAACTAAAGCCAGGGTTTCTTTGATGATTGTGCCCAAGGAGGGGGTAAACCAGGCAGCGGTTAAAGTTGGGGGCCAAGAGTTTTAGGAGTGCAAAGCATTTGTATGGCATGCTCCCCAGGAAAATTTCGCTTTTTGGGAATTTTGGTCAATCAGGATTCCTAAGCATTCAACCAAACATGACGCTTTTTTCTGGCGTGTAGTTACTGAGGAATCAGCGTCTAACTATTCTAGAGTGAGTGATTCACATTGAGCGCTCTAGCTTTCCTGTTCATTTGTGTGGTGGAGCGCTTCTAACGATGACTTGATGGAGAGGATCAGAGCACCAGAAAATGCAGGGCAAGAGCGAAGTGGTAGAGAAGACAAGCGGTAATGACTCTACCTTCCTTGCATGCCAGGGGGAGTTGATGCACCGAATGCCCCGGCTGATGGTGAAGGAAGAGGATGTCGCTTCACTCACAAGCGGTACCAGTTTTGATTAGGAGGCGACCGTATAATAATTTCGCGCATGCGCGCGTTGTCCACAATGTGTTACGTAGCAAAGCACTCTTTGACATAAACTAAGCCCTGGTAAGGGTTTATGGCATCAACAGTTGGCAAAATTCTGTTGCCGTGAATTCATACATCGCGGTCCTTGTGTTTCACTAGTAGTGAAAGCGCCAACCCTTAACAAAAAGGTGCATTACAAAAGCCACTTTGTGTAACGGTAAACACCATTCAGTTACTATTTCTGCGTTTGGATGCATTCCAGGAAAAGACTTTTATCACTAAGGGTGTTTAACATTTGTAAAACTAGAGCTCTGGTTGCTCCTTGGGATAATAGCACGAAGTTCCAAGAACAGAAATGTGGTCAGGAACCCCCTTTTCAATACCAAAAATTAGTTTTCGACACATTCCGCTCACCTCCACTAGCACCAAATACCAATCTTTGTATTTAATAAATAGATCTGGTACGTTCCCCACCACTGCACTGTACCCGTCATAGTGCAGGTCACGTATCTCTCCAATTTCATTAAATCCTTCTTGGGTTTTACATCCACTTGTGGTCATAATTCTGCAATTGAAATGAGAAAGCATTAAACTCTTATGTATAGACATATGTATGCATGCAGGAACAATCACGTGTATAATGAAAAGCACTAAAGTGCACACCCTCGGCAAACTGCGCACGTACGGTACCACTAATTGTTGGGCTGGGCTTTTAGTATACATTTACTTGTTGTCTCCACGCTAGTAGCTCGTGGAGAGTCTGACACGGACTAGCTACAGTAGTAGATAGCATGCGGGAGTTGATACACGCTCTTCGTTGTGCCTTCTTGTGCCTCCGAGGTACACAGAGCAAGCAGACCCGGTCGGGGTAAGCCTGCGCTAATTTGCATATTGGCTTGTTCACTTGCTTTTCACGCCATAACTTTTGAATGCAATAGATACAATGAAGCCAATGTAGCGAACGGACTCACACACACATACACACACACGAACTAAGTACCGCAACCCTCGCTGCGCATGCGTGTCGAGGGTTAATAACAGGCATGAAATAAGCAGGAAGAAGAGAAGGAAATTCAGGGAACACAAGATAGAGACACGACATATACATCAAGAAACACAAAAACACATGACGAGACTAGACACCAAGAATAAATATTACAGAGATCGTAGCAGTAATAACGCTGGTATATTATTACAAGTAAATTTAAAATCCTGCAAATTAAAAAAGAGGCATATAGGGATGGTATAAAAAGAAAGAGAGACAAGATAAAGATGGGATACATGAAGCATGGTTAATGAACAGATTTGAGCATGCTGACACCACCAACCCCATAACATAATCCCTTTATTGGTGCCTGGTGTGCCACTCTATTTGTACTCTTGGTTACTCGGTTAGCAGGACTTTCGTATTTTCAAGCTAGACTATTGAATGTTTAATACTTCACCTAGGCAGTTGTTGAAGTCTGCGCAGTGCATGCGTGCGCGGGACAGAAACAGTTATCTCTTTTTTGGGGGACTTTACCCCAAATTGTGGCACAAGTGGAAAAATCATTTCATGAAATGAAAGGGGGCGTGGGGACGTCACATCATGAAACAAAAACCAAGAGAGTCATTCATAACCCCATCCCTACATTGTTTCTTTCAAGATCAGCAGTTTATGCGAATATTAAGACCGTTTTTATGCTCTTTGCCTAATGCATTCATGCCTTGCAAGCAAAAAAATTCTGAGCAAAACAAGGATGTAAGGGATGGTTATGAATGACTCTGCCTTGGCGAGGTGCAAACAGATTATTACCCTCGGCGCGCATGCGCAGCGAGGGTACAGTAGTTGGGTCTGTCTGTCTGTTTTTCGGATAGATCCGCGTGCTCTGCGTACTTCGGAGGCACCAGAAGATGCAACGCAGGGCGTGTATCGCCTCTCGCATGCTATCTAGTAGTGTAGTTAGCCCGCGTCAGACTGCGCGAGCTGGCAAGAGACCACGAGTAACAGCTAAAACTAAACCCAGCCCATCAATTAGTGGTATGGCGCATGCGTTTACTTATGCGTGTGCGTCACAGTGCGCCGAGGGTTTGCACTTCAGTCCTTTTCATTTTACCATTATGCTTGATGAATGTGTCACTTCATCTAACAAAGAACAGCTGGCCATAGGTATCAGGTATGTTGACGTGACATTTGCCTTCCATGAGGAGTTTATTGGTCTATATTACTGTCCTGATATCAAGGGAAATACAATCTTTTCTATTGTACAAGATACATTGTCGCGGTTGAACTGAAGTCTCCATCATGATGCTATGACGGTGACAGTAATAATTATGGCAGGCAGCAGAAGTGGTTTAAAGACTCAGATATTGCAGGAAAAGCCACGTACACTGTTCACTCACTGTAATGGGTGTTCATTAAATCTTGCAGTTGCAGATACAATTAAAACACCTTTGGGCTGTACAGCAGTACTAGGCCTCGCAGTCACTGTGTATACATATAATTAACCCTCGGCACGCATACGCAGCGAGGGTTACAGTAGTTGGGTCTGTCTGTCTATCTGTGTGTCTGTCAGTCTGTCTGTTACTCTTCATCTCACTCCTCGAGTGTTCTTTCGTCTCACAAAGGATACCACCTACTGAACGGGCAATGAAGGTCAGAACTTTCGAACGGTTTTCTTTGAAAACGCTCCGTTGCAAAGCTAGAGCGCTTCCACCATTGTACGGCTATGCGTAGTCGGCCATTTTTATCGCTGCGGAAAATGCGCATTGCGCTTATATTTTAGCACAGGACCGGGTTTGCTTGCTCTGTGTGATTTTTGAAGGCACAAGAAGGTCACAACGAAGGGCGTGTATCGACTCTCGCATGCTATCTACTACCGTAGCTAGCCCGTGGTCAGACTCTCTGCGAGCTATATTACTAGCGGGAGAGCCGCGAGTTAAACACATACTAATATACCGTGCATGGCGCAGTTCGCCGAGGGTTTTGCACTTCAGTGTACATGTGTGGGGGTGTGACAGACCACATGCTCGGGGCAATGCACACTTTTTCTGCACCTCATTATGCAGATGGTATTATACTTTGGACTTAGTGTAAATGGGTAAATGTCAAGGAAATGACCAAGCATTTTTATTTAAAAGAGGTTACGGGCCCACTGAGAGAGTATGAGGTGACACTGCTATTATATAGGAGCAATATGAAACACCCACGTCGGAAAGAAGGTTAGACAGATGTATTCAAGTCACACAACTTTCGTTATGTGTGGTAATATCACATAAACCATATGCGTAGGAGGTTCTGGAGGCAGCAAAGTTTCTGATATCACAAAATAGTGGTTAAAACATGAAGTGAAGCAGGAAAACGTGTGGTGATGGGCGAGTGAGTGATACAAAGCTGCTGAGTCTGTTGCTAATGTACCTATCACACTATCATAATTATGTAGAGCTACGAAGGATGACAAACACATCCCCATAAAAGGTCAACATTTAAAAAACGAATGTCTCATCATACAGATGTTGTGTTTAACCCAAAAACTCACACATCGATATCATTGTCTGGCAGCTTCATTGTTCCAAGTATCAGTTCAAACAGGGTGGAAAAGAAATATTTCCCATTACAGTCAGTCCACCCAGTCAGTCTAACTCGCTCCCTGGCCTTTGTCCATTTATTCAACTTGTACCGCTAGTATTGTTTGGGGGAAAAGTTACACCTCATGGGGACCCAAAAAAGGGAACAGTGACATGCTCATTAATTTCCTAGGTTATATAACAACCAGCATTTTCATGTTCTTATATTGGGGAAATTACTGAAACATAATAAAATTTAAAAATGTATGTGCAAAACCCTCTGTGCTATTACATGGGCCACTATGTGTCGGCATGAATTACAGGTTGCACGCATGTACGTTACTTGGCCTAAGGGGGATGATGAATCCTGCTGTTTGCCAGCTCTCCATTGTTGCCGAGCGCGTTAGCGTAAGGCAACTACTCTGGGTTGTATTCTAGCGATATACATACGTACGTGTCCGTCACGCTTAAGAATGTCAATTAGTCAAGCTTATGGAATGTCAATTAGTCACACTTAATGAATGAGGGTTGGGATTCTGAGACGTCGCTGCATGACTCCGCGTCTGAGAGTAGCGCTCCTGGGGACGGGCCGTCGGCATCGAAAAGGCGTAGGCTCTCGCTATCTCTGACAAGAACAAGGGCTACGTGCAAACCTCTCTGTAGCTGTGGAAGTAATGAACCTAGCCCTCTTTCTTGTGAGAGATAGCGAGAACCTACGTCTTTTCGATGAAGACGGCCCCGTCCCCAGGAGCGGTACTCTCGGACGCGGAGTCTTGCAGCGACGTCTCAGAATCCCAATCCTCGACTTCCAAACGGAAAGCCTCTCTCTGCCATTCACTCCCTCGATCTGTCAGCGTCGATCGTGTTTGCCTGGCTGAACTAGCTGCGTAAGATAGAACGGCATGTTATGCGCAGGTTCACGTGTATCGCCTTATTTGGGTGGATGTGCCATTTTCGAACGTGGTTTCCCAGCAGCGACCAATCAAGGGTAATAAACATTTTATTACACCTTTTTTCGTGGTGTTGTGGATTATCCGCCCTCGGGGAGTCAAGTGGATAAACCAGCAACACCACTTCAAAAGGTGTAATAACATACGTATGC